TTCTCGCTGCCCTCCTCAACAATGGCGAATGACTCTCCATCATGGACGGCTTTCTTCTGCTTCTGGAAGGGTCTAGTTCTGGGCTCTTGTTGGGTTCTTGATTCACATTCGGTCTGTGGATCTCCACTCTGAGAGATGGCGGCACTCTCAGAGGTAAACCGAAGGGTTTGCTCTGCTCCTTGGCTTCATCTGCCTGCTTGTCTTTTACCTCAAAATTCAGCATCCTACTCTTTCTGAACGTGTCCCTTTGGCTCCTCTGCAGAGCCAGAAAGATGGGAGATAAAACTGCTGAATTACCCTCAGTACCTGCTGACCCTCCTGGATCCACTGACTTCTCAGTCTTTTCATCTTGCAGACATGGACTCTGCTCCGGCTCACCTGACACCTCCTGTTTACTCTCATGATTACATGTTACAGTCCTCTCGCTCCCTCCGAGCAAATGTCGGTACTTTTTTTTTAGCACAACATACCGGACTCCCTCAATCTCTTTAACAAAGGCAACGTCATTCACCAAAGTCTTGAAGAGCTCTCTAAGGCGACCTCTCTCCTCCGGATCGACGCACTCCATTGAGGAACTGAATTTTTCAGCCAGATCAGATTTTTCAATTTTGCCGCCCTCATCCACCAGCAGAGAAATGATGGATTCCTGAGTTAAATCCATGAATAAAACCATCAATGTCAGAAAGAAAGAAAAATAAAAGGAGGAAACTTGTTTAGCAGCCACACAGTTCAGACACCTGGCAGCACTGTTCTCCTCCTTCTCACCTGATGACTTTTTTTTTCTCCTTTGGTCTGGGAAAGGTGGGGACTTGAAAATGATTTGAATAATATATGCAGTTTTTTACCCCCCTGCAGGCAAACGTGAATCAATGAAATGAGACATGTTTTTACTCTCATGAGGGGAAAGACGCTTTAACATATTTAAGTGTAATTGATATGTGATTTGATATGTTTTATTTTATTTTTTTATTTTAATGTATCTATGTTTCTTATGTAACTTTGCTGCCTGTTGGCCAAGACTCCCTTGAAAAAGAGGTTTTTAATCTTAATGGGATGTTTTCCCTGGTTAAATAAAGGTTAATAAAAAAAAAAAAAATGAACCTACTAATTCTGCCAATTTGAGCTATTGATGTAATGTTGGGAATAAGAAAAAGCCTCGAATATGGCAGCAGGTTTTCATTTCACACGTAAATCCTTTAAAACTTTCTTCCAACTGTTTTCTTCTAGGCAAAAAGGAAAAGAAACAAACTTTTAAAATAAGCAAAAAGTAGAATGTGTGACATGATCTGATTGGCTTTACTCGGCTGTAAATTTGGTCTAAAATAATGTAAGATATGCAAAACAATGTTTTCACACAGAGAAGCATATCTTAATATTTTAATAAGCTGAAATATTTCTGCGGTCAGCTCTGTGTCTGCTCTTGTCCTGGCTTGCACTGTGAGCCGCGCAGCATTCCTGAACCGAAGGGGAGGCTCTGACAAGGAGCGGCCATATTGGAATCAGCGATGTGGCGTCTGTGCCTGAGCCGACTGCTTCTGCCAGCTCCGTTTTGTGAACAGTCAGAGACGTTCCCCTTTTCTTACTTACAGAAATGTAGATGAACTTGTCCCTTTATAGTTGGACAGTAAATGAGCAGTTTAAGGACATGAACAAAGAAAGCCAACAGACACTCATGTTTTATAGTGTTAATATTTTCATATTCGATTCTGGATATGTTGAAACTGATGTAAAGTATTAAAATTAAAATGATACAAAATTCTTCAAGCATTAAGTTTAACATGGAGGACAACCAAAATAGACTAGAATTAATTTTTTAATGAAACTCAAAAAGTGAAAAACATTATCAAAACAGTTTATAATGCAGCGTGATATATTATAAATGTTCTGTTTTATGTTGTAAATGAAAGTGATTAGGATTATGATTATTGAAAATCTAAAATTTGTTTCACTTAAAACAAATATAAGTCCGACAAATAAAAGAAGACTTCTAATCCAGAAAGGTTGGTTTTACTTAGTCGTTTAAAATCTCTCTTTAAATACTGCAATTATTTTATTTACTCATTTTCATTTCTATTCTGTTCAGTTTGACCTTAAAATGTTTTTATACAGCAATCTGGAAAATTCAGCTTTCGAATAAATGTCTTTTTCCCTTCTTTTAATTGTTTTAGCTACTATGTGCTGGGCAAATGTCAGTCACCTTCCCCCTGATCATGTAATAGTCCATCAGGGCTGATCTAAGAGGATCCACACCCCTGGACTCCAGCTAGTTTAGGTTATTATACAATGTAAACAAATAAATTTTATGTATCTGAAATAAATACACTAATCATCATTTTGAGCTGGGTCCCAGCAGGGATAAGCATGTCAGAAAATAGATGGATAAATGGAATAATTTTGAGTAAGTAGGCCTATACATTATTAATTCTAAATACATATTAAATATTAATAATAATTTAATAATTGAACTTTATTGATCTCACACTGGAGAGATTCCTCTTGCATTTAACCCATCCCCTTGAGGAGCATAAACATGACAGTTTTGTATTTTAAACAAATGAGCTGTATTAACTAATGAATATGCATCATGAAAGGTTTATCTTATAGCTTTAATAGCTTTTTGGTTTCTATAAAAAGTTACTGTGAATTTCTCATGTAATAAAATTTAACAAATCTGTACATGAGTGTGTATTCAACTTAATCTAGAGTAACTGTTACTCAGTCACATGTATTAACATTTCTTAATTCTCAACACTTCCAGCTCTTTTTGTTTTTTTTTTTTTAAACATTGTAGGGGTTAAACAACTCCAGGATCAACTCCAACATATTATAAACGAACTCTGAAAAACTTCAGCAGATTTTACTGTACCAAATGGATTCGGTCATCTCTAAAAAAAAAAAATGTTTAAATACAACATACCCTGAAATATTTTCATTTATTCAAATAGGTCCTCTTTACTAGAATATTAGCAGTATAAAGCAGTATAATTATTAGCAGTATAAAGATGTTATCTATCACTAGCTTGACATCAACATTTAGGTTAGAAAAGGCTATTCTGTAATTATTTTCGTCTAGTTTCACTTGGATTATTTACATGAAAATCCAATAAATATGGACAAAGAAACTGAATACCAGAATATTAACTTTCTACAGCATCTGTATGCTCTTTCCTGATTCTATTTGTTTCTAATAACAATTATTTCTCTCCAGTTAAGGCTTTCAGACTCTAGGAACATGTTAGCATATTAACGTGGAATAGAACTGTGTGAAACCACTTTACGAAACTCATCTATTTGTTTTAAGCTGCTATGTACTCTTCTCTTGTAGATGGCTCTTACATACAAAATAAACTTCCAAAAAGTTTATTTTAGAAGTTAAAGAATATCTCTTTTCGAGTAGAAATAGCCAAATGATTTGGATCGCTGAACGGAACAGAATTCCCATTACTAATAAAAAACGCTTCCGTCATCGACAAAGACGTTACCCTGGGTCAAGATAATTCACCCCTCCCCTTTTAAGTCAGGGAGTGATCTTTGTAGGCGTTTAATGGCAAATAGAAATTTAACTTACTGTTTTGGACACGAAAGTACAAAAATAAATAAATAAATAACTAAATAAATAAATAAATAACCCACGCAAACCTGAAGCCTATTGTATATCACATTCTGCTTTAGAATTTGTGAATTTAATGTACGAAAGCTTCACATATAACCTTATTATTATTATTATTATTATTTACTGGAATTTGAATACCTGCGTTTTACATGAGTGCTACAAGATGTCTCAAGATTTAAATGAAGTAGCGACGAACAAAGAAATCAGCAAAATTCAAGCACATTCTATTTAGATTATATAGGGGTGGCATTGATATTTATTATGGCAATGAAACAGCAAATATATTAGCAAAAAGGGCTTTAGAGGGAACAATAACCATTACTATTCCTTTTGGGAAAGGGGAAGGTAAATCACTTATTAAGAGTAAAGAAATGGAAAAAATGGCAAAAGAGGTAGAATGAAGATAAGAAATGAAGAGGATTAAATAAGGTCCAACAATCAGTATTAAATCATTAATGAGAGAAACAGAAGGGAAGAAGTAATGATGATCAGATTAAGAGTGGGCTATACCTATTTAAATGACAATTTATATTTAATAGGGAGGAAAAATAATGGTAAATGTGAAGGATGTGGAGAACATGTACTGATGAACTGTAAAACTTATGAACATGAAAGGGATAAATTGAGAAGAAAGGCTGGAAGGACAGGCCAAGAATGGAGTCTTAAAGGAATATTGGGAAATAAAGGAAATATAAAGGATATTCACAGATTAAGGAACACATTGTTTATTTATCTAAAGAATACATAATAATAATAATAATAATAATAAAACAAATTGAATTTGATGTAAAGTAATGTTGCTACATACTCATGTACAGTAGGTGGCGGTATGGCCATTGCTTGCGATCCGCCATCACAGAAAAGAAGAAGTAGAAAAATTAAGGAAAATAAAGACCCAAACCAGCAGTTCAGTAAATGAAAACCTCTGGAGCAGTGTCCAAAGCTTGAAAAAAATTAATTGATTGTTAAAAAGAAGGTTTTTTTTTTCTTTTCATGGTAGAAGTGAAAGCTGCAGAAAAATATCTTGAAGTGAGATTTAAACTGGGAAAGGAGAGAAAGCATGATGTTGGGGAAACCAATTGGATCATCAGAAACTGGCAGAGTGACGATAACTTAAAAGACAGATAAAAAATTATGAGGACGAATTTGGTTAAGTATTTATTATGTTGGGTTAAGTTAAACAGTTTGGGATGTATTTATTTATTTGAGTATTGTTTTCTGTTTCCTTGTTTAACTCCTTATCAGCTGGTGGCGGTAATGCACTTTGAACTAGTTTGCCAAAACTCACAAGAAGAAGAAGAAGAAGAAGGAAATCAGCAGGGTATTATCTTGTCAAGTCTGGTCTTTGAGCAGCTAGCAGTTCCCCGCAGCCTGGTGTCCCTCTCTCTCTTCCCATCCCTGTCAGGTCGCCTTCAGTTAGTCTAGCAGGCTAAGTAGGGAGAGAGGAGAGGAGGGCAGTTCCCTTTCGCTTCTGCTCAGTCTGCCTCTCAGCACGCCGTTAACACACATTCCACACTATGGCTGCCACGGACGTGGACGTATTTTCGGTAAGTAAATGACAGAGCGCTTTTTTTTTTTTGTTGAACTCCCGGAGTGTGTCAAAGTGCGGCATTTATCAGAAACACCTGGTCGGTGAATGTGTGAGCAGGCGGGTAAGCTAAAGCCTAACCCCGCTCATGGAGTCTGTGGATCAGGCGTGATGGTGGAAGTGATTTCTGTGACGGTGACTCAGTGCGGCTGCTATTGCTAACTTAAGCATAGTTACCTCTCCGGTTTATTTGGTCGGACATGTAAATATTCTGATGCTAACATCAAAGAGTCTCCTCTGGAGAGAAGGAAACCATGAGAGATGTTAGAAGAACTACTACCAATAAAATAAACGCTGCAAAGTGAATGATTTGACAAGCAAATTGGAAAGTGATACTTAAAAATATGAATGCATTTAGGTTGAAAATAATTGGGTTTATTAACCCTTTATAGGGCTCTCGTGAAAGAGTGCACTTTACAGTTCACCAGATCATACAGTCAGATTGATTCAAAGTTTTCTATCTATGGAAAACCAGCTAATTGCATCGACTCATTGACTCGAATGCAATGCCTCACACTAAGCATGCTTGTAGCGACAGTGGAGAGGAAAAACTCCCTTTTAACAGGAAGAAACCTCAAGCAGAACCAGGCTCAGTGTGAGCGGCCATCTGCCAAGGCCGACTGGGGTTCAAGGAGACAGAAGCAGAGACACAAAAAGCAGCTGTAAAAGGCGGCCCATCCAGGAAACACACAGCCAGGCAGACAAGCTCCGAGCCAGCTCCCATGTCAGAGGATAAAGAGAGCGCATCCAGCCAATCACGGTCAGAGAGACAGGACCACATTGGAAAACAGGCCGATCTCCAACATCTATAAACAAGGGTGTTGATGAAAGCAGCACAGCTGATATTTCTCTCCAGGATGGAGTCACAGCCAAACAGGAACAGACCAGATGAAGCTACCATGAGAAAAAGCAGAGAGAGCATAACGTTAAATATTGAACTAACAGATTCTGTAGATTGGGAGAGTAGAGGCAGAATGATGTAGTGGGGGTCCCTATGTCCTCCAGAAGTCTAAACCTATAGCAGCATAACTATAGAGATAGCTCAGGAAGTAAGTCTGTTTTGGTTAAAAATAAGTGCATTGTTTTTCTTGAGTTGAGCAGTAAATTTAATGTAAATTGAACATTTAAAATAAGGAAAAAAATGCAGTCTCCTCAAATTAAGAGTAAATTAAGTCTTATTTTTAGACATTTTCACTAATTTTTAGATCATTCTTCTAGTGTGTTATTGGAATCCAGGATAAGACCTTATTAACTCTAACATTCAAAAAATATGGAGATTTGAATGTCAAGGGAATAAGAAACGCCAACTTGCCCGGATATATTAAAGGGGAACGTAATTTTTTTACATTGGGCCCTTGATTTTACGTTATTACATCATGTTCTACTCACTTAATGAGTTTTATGTCGTTTGGAGCTGTTCTGAAGATATTCCGTTAGGTTATATCCAAGTAACGTCTTCCTATGGGCAACGAGTTGAAGGCACAAAATAAACTGTTCATAATTTAGTCTTTAAGGTCCGCCAGCATTCATGACATGTAGGCGAATCACTGTCCCCCATACATCCACGGTTATATTTTTTATATTTATATATTTTAAAAACAAAGCTGCATGTGTATGATGTCATCTGTGTGCGCCAGCTACCGTTCATTCATCCTGTCGGCTGAACTGCTGCTAGTTTTTCTCACATGCCTGGAAGATGTTTAGTGCTACTACCACAGATGATCTCGCTCTCGAAATGGAATTGAACGATTTAGGTTAGCTAGCCGAATGAATATAAGGGGTAGAGCGTAGCCGCCTGTGCCCTGGCTGCCTGTCACAACTCCAGTCCGGCGCGCGCGGATGACGTCATACACGCGCCGCTTTGTTTAAAAAAAAATATAAATATAAAAAATATAACCGGTGATGTCTGGGGGACAGTGATTCGCCTACATGTTATGAATGCTGGCTTGTTAACTTTTTTTTCCAACTTAATCAACAGTGGGTAATCATTTATATATCATTTAAGGCAGGCATCCCCAAAGTCGGTCCTCGGGGCCGCTGTCCTGCAGGATTTAGAGGTTTCCCTGCTTTAGCACAGCTGATTATGATGATTGTAGTTGAGCAAAGGCCTGTTAATCAGCTTGTAATTAAAATCAGCTGTGCTGGAGACAGGAAACCTCTAAAACCTGCAGGACAGTGGGCCTCGAGGACCGACATTGGGGATGCCTGATTTAAGGGCTCATCTAATTGGTCAAATGCCAAAATAAGATGTACAGCCATGTAGCAGTATCTTTGGCTGGATATATAGATCTTTTGCTTCTAGATGTCACTGAGTGACAGGGGGGATTCCATTAGTGAGGGGCGTGCAAGTGATCAAAAACCGTAACTTGCCCTATAAAGGGTTAAACAGACATTCTGGGGTAATTTATATTTATAATTTAACGATGGGATATTTAAGGTACTTGAATCCCAACTCGACGAAAAATGATAAAAAGAAGCTGATTTTCTTATCGTTGCAGTATATGATCATAACAGTTCCTTCATTCAGCCTAAATGTCATGATTAACTTACAAAGATGGGATATTTATCTGCTTAAAAAAAAGGTTTCTTGGTGAAATGCTAAAATAAGGCTGTAAATTGCTTTTATTTCTTGATAAGGCTGGAAAAGTGTGTGTTTATCTATCAGATCTCCTGATTTAAGGCTGTATATATTTGCTTGGAAATATGAATACTGTATAACATTTCGATATTTAGGCAGAATTTGGCTTTGGTGAAGGAAAACTTGGGCATCGAGTCTTTGAGATGTCTGTCAAAGGAGCAAAGGGATTAGATTTGGAAATATAGTAATACACCCTCAGAAAGGTGGTTTTTAAATTATTTCTCCGCCCAGCAAAAAGTTTCATCACTAAGAAAGTTTGCTATTAGCTTCATACTGATTGGTGGTAACCTAGTAACAGTTCCAACAATCATGTTCATAGCCAGGCTTTATTCTATGTTTAACTCAAGGCTCATGTATCAAAAGGCAAATTATAACTACTTGTTATTGAAAAGGTGGTTATAATTGTGTTAAATAATATCTCTATATATATATATTTAGAAAATAATTGCTATGATTGTTATTTTTAATGGAGTTTGATGAAAATAATTTATTGACTTTAAGTAAAGATAATTTATTTTAGTGTATTCTACATTTAAATTTTACAAAAACAATGCAGCATTTGTTGGAAGCAGACTGATAGGTTTTTCTAAGTATTTTTTTTACTTATACCATAAGCTAAATATATTTTGCTTTTGGGTAGAGGAATAAAAAGTCAGTGATGATGTTCATAAGTCTTAGACAGGATTTCTAGGTGCTGCCAAGAGCTGGAGGAGGTCTGGTTTAGGCATCAGTGGATTTTTTCTCTGCTTTTTAACGGGTGACTCCATCCAGCTGGGAAGGTTCACAGCTCCAAGTCTGAGTCCAGGATTGGCTGTACCTCTCCAGGTTAGAGGATAGTGAAACAGTCCCAGAGTCTCAGGGTCCTTTTCACAAGAGATTGGAAAATGGAGCTGGAGATCAACATGATAGAATCAGTGCAGCTCTAATGTGGACAGTTCTGTTATGGTGAAGAAAGAGCTGAAACAAAATGCAAGGCTGACTTTATCAGGCTACAATCCTGCCTTCACCTGTGGTCATGACAGCTGGATCACGACTGAAAGACCGAGATCCAAGATATAAGCGGCTGAAATGAGCGTTCCTTCGGAAATGGGCAGAGCTGCTGCTCCTCCACATCGAGGGGAGTCAGTCAGGTGGCTGCTGCCTTGCTTTGTGAGAGTTAATACCGTAATTTTCAGACTATAAGCCGCGACTTTTTCCCCATTTTTCGACTATTTTTCAACCTTGCGGCTTATATAACAATGCGGCTTATCTATGGACTTTTACAGCTAACGGCCACTAGGGTAATACGGTACCTAAATCTATGGATTTTACCATCCGCCATGTTGACGTCACATTTGCTTCAACACACAAGTAGCCGCTCACGGGGGAATGCGGACGTCCTCCGGAAGCAGACGCCGAGAAAGACGGACATTGCGAACGCGAGACAGTTTTTGTGACACCCTCATTATGGAAAACAAACATTGAAATGCATATGATGCAGCTTTTAAGTTAAAGGCAGTCAATTTGGCAGTTACGAAGGAAATAGAACCGCTGTACGTAACCTTGGAATCAACGAGTCAATGGTGAGACGTTGGAGACGCCAGCAGGAAGAATTGTCTCAATTCAATTGTGTTGAAATGTTAAAAAATAGGAGCTTCCCCAAACAGTTGTCTCTTTCCCGACAATCCTCTCTGTGCATGAACCATATGGTAATTAAACATAAAAACCTGCTGCTTATAGTCCGGTGCGGCTTGTATATGTACAAATCATGCAATTTAGCTTCTGCGGCTTATATTCAGGTGTGGCTAATAGTCCGTAAATTTAATACCGTAATACCGTAAATTTACGGTATTATACTTTTTTTTTTTTTCATATAAACTTTTTAAAGAGTTAGCAGTGAAGCTGATTTTTAACAGTTGCTTACTTCTGATTTGGGCGTATAGTGCGTCTAACACTGGCTTACAGTAGATCTGAGAAAATCTCAGTTCTTCTTCCGTGGCATAAAACGGAAAAAAATACAAAGTAAAAGGCATTGTGTGTTTTTTAAGGCGCACTTATTATATCAGTCGTAAAACCTTTAGTGCGTAAATATTATAGTTTGAATAGCATGATGCTAAAGCCAACAGGTTTTCTCTGTGGAGGATAGCAGAAGTAGGGTGGAGCTGGTTTGGTTTTATCCTCATTTTGATATGGTGTAACTACTCAGGTGTGACCCAATGGAAACGACAGCCGGGTGGGACAGCACAGTTTATGGAAAATCTGAGTAATGCCCTCTAATAATAGTATGAGAGAGAGAATACATCACAGTGGAGTGGCCGGTGCAAACGATGAGGATTTAAAGA